GGGAAACCACGTAAATCAGTGTGTCGTTTATTGTTCAGTTCAGTTCAGTTCAGCAAATTCAACATGGTATCAGAGCTTTCTATGGCCGATTCTGATCGGTTGTCTGTTCGGCTCAATTCGAAGAACTATGCGTTATGGGAATTTCAATTTCGCATATTTGTTGAAGGCAAAGAGCTTCTTCCGCTGTTGGATGGTTCTCTGCCGAGGCCTCAAGTCCCGCCGGCTACGGCGCAGGAGCTTGCGCATTGGGTGCAAAACAATGCTCGGATCAAGACTTGGATTCTCGGATCAGTGGATCCGAATATTGCTCTGGGATTAAGGTTGTTCACAGCTGCGTCGGAGATGTGGGCCTATCTGGCTTCGACGTACTCGACCACTATTGTCGCTAGGCAATTCGAATTGCAAACGACGCTCGCTCGTTTGGAACAGGGAGACCTGGATGTGACGGCATATTTCCAGGCTGCTCAGCTGCTTTGGACGGAGCAGGACCTCCTGGCTGCTTCGCTTCGTCCCGCGGCAGTGACGGCCGATGTTGTTGCTGAGCGAAATCAGACTCGACTAATGAACTTCTTGATGCGGCTTCGGCCTGAGTTTGAGAATGTTCGGGCAACGTTGCTTAATCGGGAAGACATCAAGTTTGACGGGGTGTTGAGCACGTTGGTCCGAGAAGAGACACGATTGCGTACGCAATCCCAGCTGGACGCGCGACCTGGAGTGGGTGATCATGCATTTGTGGCTGGTCATTCACGTCGCCATGAAGCTCCCTCTCCTGCTGTGGGCGATGAAGCATTTGCGGTGGGGAGGCCGCAATTTCAGCGCCGAGTTCCGGTGTCGGAGCTTACCTGCCATCACTGTCAAGAGGTGGGTCATGTTCAAAAGTACTGCAAGGTTCGCAATTTTTGTGTGTTTTGCAAGAAAGGAGGGCACATCATCTCGGAGTGTCGAAGGTTGAAGGCTCGTCCTCAGGGTATGTCGCAATCGCCTGCTGCTCCTGCTGGGAGTGCGTACTCGGCTGCTGGTGCCCCGTCTGCTGCTGCTGGTCCGGGAGAGGGCTCGTCCGCGTCCTCGGCTAGCTCGGGCTTGACTGCGGCGGATGTGGAGAGGCTCATTAATGCTGCTCTTCATAGGTCACTCCCCACAGCAATTACCAATGCATTCTCCACGATGCATGGGTCTGGTATTTTCTCTAAACCTTGGCTTCTCGATTCCGCATGTTTTAATCACATGACAAATGATAAGACTAAGATGTGTGATGCTCGCCCAGTTAAGAATTTGTCTATTCAAGTGGCTAATGGGTCTCGCCTATCTGTTGAGAATATTGGTGATGTTCAGGATTCTCGGCTATCGTTACCTCGTACATTACATGTTCCTACACTTGTGCCCAACTTGGTTTCGGTGGGTCAGCTTACTGAGCAAAATTATCGTGTTGTGTTCGACTCTTCTGACTGTGTTATTCAGGATCGGACGACGGGGAGGCAGATCGGCCGGGGAAGTAAACGGGGGAGGAGTTTTCAGCTGGAGGAGCTGTCGGGTCAACCTTGTTCGTCGGAGTCAGTCCCTGAGGCGTCGGGTTTGGTGTCTGGGGGATCAGTTTCTCAGCCTTTGTTTTCGGCTTTCTCTAGTGTTAAGAACTCGGATATTGATCTTTGGCATTCTCGTTTGGGTCATCCCCATTCGAGTAGACTGAGTACTATGTTCAAACAACAATTATTTGGAAATAAAAAGGTTGATAGCTCCTTTGGTGAGTTCGTTTGCACTAGTTGTATTGAAGCCAAGACGACGCGTAGCTCATTTCCTTCTAGTACTACAGTTATATCGGAACCTTTTCATGTGGTTCATACAGATCTTTGGGGTCCTTCGCCGGATACGTCCCGTCATGGTTATAAGTACTTTGCTTTGTTTGTCGATCATGCGACTCGGTTCACCTGGGTTTATTTTCTTCGGCTTAAATCTGAGTTGCTTGCCATTGCTCAGGAGTTTGTTAAGATGATTCAGACACAGTTTGGGCATACGGTGAAGGTGGTACGCTCGGATCCCGGAGGTGAGTTCAGTTCTCACCCTTTGGCTGCTTTCTTTCGGGATCAGGGTATCTTAACTCAGAAATCATGCCCCGGGGTTTCTCAGCATAATGGCCTAGTTGAAAGAAAGAATAGGCATGTAGTGGAATTGACTCGAGCTTTGCTGCTTGCGTCATCAGTTCCGCCCCGGTTTTGGCCTGAGGCAGTTGCCACTGCTGTACGATTGATTAATTACCAGGTTACTCCAGTTCTTGAGCAGAAGAGTCCGCATTTCATGCTTTTTCAGAAGCATCCGGATTATTCCCGGCTCAGGGTGTTTGGATGTCTGTGTTTTGTTTTACTCCCAAGAAAGGAACGCACGAAGTTGTCCTCCAAAACTGCTCGATGTGTTTTTCTTGGTTACAGTGATGTTCACAAAGGGTATCTATGTTTTGACTCCTCTGCCCAGCGCCTTCGGATCTCGTGTGATGTCATATTTTTTGAGCGGACCATGTATTTTCCTGCGGATTCTGATGCTTCTTCGGGTTGGTTATCGGGGCCTGTTCGGTTGCCTTCATTTCCTGATGATCTCGATGACGTGGTTGATGACCCACCTCCCCCCGACTCGCCTCCCCCCGACTCGCCTCCTGTCGGATCGCCGCCTGGCTCTCCTGGTTCTTCTTCGACCAGCTCGTCGGATGACTCGTCCTCTTCGCCGCCAGTGGAGCAACCTGTTCTTCGGCGGTCTCATCGGGTTACGCAGGGCCAACGCCCCGTGAGGTATAATGATTTTGTTACATATAATGTTGACGCTGTTTCTGTTCCTACGTGTTTTAAGCAGGCTCACGGTGATCCGATGTGGGATGGGGCGATGGATGTGGAGATCGATGCCCTTCATGCTAAGGGCGCTTGGGAAGTAGTGGACAGGCCACCTCCTCATGTGCCAGTTCTGGGTTCAAGGTGGGTCTACGCATTGAAACTTCGCGCCGATGGGAGTATTGAGCGCCCGAAGGCTCGGGTCGTCGCTCAAGGTTGTGGACAGGAGTACGGGCTGGATTATGAGGAAACGTTTGCTCCGGTTGCTTAAATGCAAACGGTTCGGACTCTTCTTGCGGTGGCTGCCATTCGCAACTGGCCTTTGTTTCAACTGGATGTCTCGAATGCCTTTCTGCATGGTGATTTAAAGGAGGCTGTTTATATGCGTCGTCCCCCGGGTTATAAGGTTGGGCGCCCAGATCAGGTTTGTTTGCTTCGTCGATCGCTCTATGGTCTCAAACAGGCACCCCGCGCTTGGTTTGAGAAGTTCCAAACGACGATTCTCGGTCTCGGTTTTCAACAAAGTCTTAATGATCCTTCATTGTTTACTCATCGGTCAGCTGCTGGGCTTATTGTTCTACTCTTATATGTGGATGACATGATTATTACAGGCGATGATTTGTCTGGCATCCAGCGACTCAAAAAGGGTCTCCATGAGTCTTTTACGTTGAAGGAGCTTGGTCCTCTGTCTTTTTTCTTGGGTCTTGAGATTAATCGATCTCCACAGGGTATTTTGCTCAGTCAAAAGAAGTATATCTCAGAGCTATTGACGTCGGCCGCCTTTGCGGATTGTGTCTCGGTATCTACTCCCATGGAAGCTAATCTAAAACTGGCTAAAGACTCTGGTGCATCACTTTCTAATCACTCCCAGTATCGCCATTTGGTTGGTAGTTTGATATATTTGACTTCTACTCGTCCCGACATTTCCTATGCGGTACAGGTCGTGAGTCAGTTTATGTCGGATCCTAGAACTGATCACTTGGCGGCAGTTCATCGGATATTACGTTACTTACAGGGGACGAGGGATGTGGGTCTCTTTCTCCCGTCCACGGGTGACTCTACTTTGCAGGCTTTTTCTGATTCTGATTTTGCTGGGTGTGTGGATACTCGTCGTTCGACGACGGGTTGGTGTATTCGTTTTGGTGGTGCTTTCATTAACTGGCGGTGCAAGAAACAGGACAAGGTGTCTAAGAGCTCGACGGAAGCTGAATATCGGGCTATGTCTGATGTGGGTTCTGAGCTGGTCTGGTTGCAGCGGCTGCTGGCGGATTTGGGTGTGCAGTGTAGTTCTCCACTCACGATGTATGTGGATAATACAAGTGCGATTCAGATTGCGGCCAATCCGGTCCTCCATGATCGTACGAAACATATTGAGATTCATGTTCATTACATTCGAGATCTAGTCCGTGACGGGATTGTTCGCCTTCAGTATGTGATCTCTGAAGACCAGCTGGCGGATTTGTTTACGAAGCCGTTCTCTCGTGCTCGCCACTGGTTCCTCTCTGACAAATTGATGCTACGGAGTAGTCATCAATTTGGGGGAGGCTGTTAGCGGGTTTGGGTCTTTTGGGTTTGGTTTGTGGCCCATGTATGTATTTTCGGGTTTTAGCCCAGTAGAGAGCCCTAGCCAGCCGACGTATGTAGAAGGCTAGAAGGGAGGAAGTTGTATAAATTGATGTTGTAACCTACCGGCCAGTACTACGAAAAAACCTAATAATATTCTCAGCTCGGAGAGGTAAAACTCTCCCGTGGACTAGTCCCGTTATCGGGGAAACCACGTAAATCAGTGTGTCGTTTATTGTTCAGTTCAGTTCAGTTCAGCAAATTCAACAGGAGAGAGCCGGCAGAGGACGGCGCCGGCGCTGGACTATCCTTCGAAAGAGCTAAACTATCAGAGTCGCCATCGGAGTCTCTTCTTTCTCTCTGCTCGTGGTTCGCGATCTACAATGGCGGCCATTAAATTTTGAGAATCGCCACCAGTACCGTAGTTCCATTCCTCTGGTCCCCGTCGGCTTTGTTCCGGCACCAGAGAACTTCCGAAAGATTCGACGTTTTCAACCCAGCCACTTTCATTTTTCAATTGTTGGATTTTCAAAAATTTTCCCTTCGCAGGTGGCGATCCAGAGTCAAAAATCGATCGGACAACTCGAGTGGTTAACCAATAACCACTTATGCCGCTCACCAACCGCCCATTCTACCCATTATGGGTTTTATACTGACCCGAACCAATTTGAAAGTCATATGGCGATTTTACCAGTTGGACCGACCAGCTCGAATCGATCTTAATAACACTACCTTTATGTCACTGCTACAACCATTAACCATACATGGCAGCACCAAGTTCGAGATACCGACCGAAAGTTATCAATTCAACAGCACATTCACGCTCGGATGAGTACATCTCAAGGTTGAGTTTGTAACACAGCAAAAGGGTCATGAAGTCCGAATATTTGGGAAAGATAACACATTCCTTTTTTTCCTCATTTTGCAAAAGGTTGACGAGTATACGGACAATAATAAATAACTCCCTTAACATTACCAGTAAAAATGGGTACAAGTACCAACTTATCCTGGCATACTTGCCAGAGGTTGGAAGGAAAGACAGTACGACTATTACTTATGGCTCCATGGGCAGAGCACTGTTTTTGCTCATATCGAGGCTTCCACACCTCTACTAACCTTGTCTGCCTGTCCGCTGTTTGATGCATTCTCTGATGATGTAACATTTTGAGCCTGACAACCGGTAAGGTTGGGATCAGCTGATAGGCAAGAAGTTTTAGAGCCCGAAAAGTTCTGCTGTTCATCTCTCGGTGTCTCGGAGAGGAAGCTCACTAGCTGTTCTGATACACCCTGGCGTTCCTGTGGGGGCTTGGAAGAGACAGGTGGTGATTCAGGGGTATCACAGAGTTTTCCGGGCAGCTCCCGAGGTCTATGAAAGAGCAAATGAGCCACGATTCGATCGATTGGGTTGGTCTTGGTTTCTTCTTCAGGTATCATGGTATTCCTACAACAACTCGTAGAAAAGAGTAGTTCATAATAGAGGAATTAAAGTTGGGTTTTGAATATCATTAAAAAAAGTAGGCTTTTGAAAACTCTAAAACAAGCCAAGTGACTTGGATGCAAGCTTGGGTATTGTTTTACGTCACCAACCTGTCATGACCACTGGCAGCTTGCTGTTTAACACCAAGTTCATCCTTGCAACTTATGTTTGTACACCTGGTGTCATTCACAGAATGCCTTTGCGTTGCACTTTGAGCCAACCGAAACAAGCTATCTCGTATGCAAAGTCGAATCGTGACATCCAACTGCACCCAAAATACATGGGGTTTGGGCGTTGCCATTGGTCGATGATACAAAAAAAAAAAGGAATCCGTTTCTAGCCCAACATGCATACCTTTGCAATTATGTCTTGAAGCTGGTGAAGGGTCGACTCTTCCGTTCCATAGTCTTTCACAGAGAGAGACACCATACTGGAATCATCCTGTTCAGGTGGTGAACCCAGCTCAAATGTGGATAGACCACTCGGGTCCTCAACTCCTTCCATATCACCACTACTCTGCTGAACTTGAGTTTCTTCCCACGCTCTTTTGTTGATTTGATGATCACGGCATGAAGCTTGATGGTTTACAAACTGCTGTTGCTGTTTTTGAATGGCAAGAATAGCCCGCATTTGCTGCCGCCTCCTTAATTTTTCAATTTTTTCCTGAGATGTCATCATCTTACTTTTCACTGCAGCGCCGTTCAAATTGTTTATGGAAGACTGATTTGGTGACACATCATAGCCAGGAAGCAAAGACTGATTCTTGAATTCCAAAGACTGAGCATGAGACAGCAAAGGCATGGATGAACAAGGGTTTGCTATATTAACATTCCCATAACCAGAGGAGGCCACAAATGGACTGGAGATTTGCATTTGCTGGTACTGTATCGATTCAGGTTCTCCTTGCTGGTTTTGCTGTTTGAGCACTGGAGCAGAAGATTGCACTATCGAAGGTGCAAGTACATCCTTGAACTGACCAGAAGGAGTTCCTGATGTATTCCAGTTAGGATATGCAGTCGGGCATGAGTTTAATTCACTTCTCTGCATCATCTTTTTCCGAACTTTCAGATTCTTTTGCTTATGGACCTATTAGTACAAATTAAACAAACAATAATATAAAGTAACAGTAAGATTCAGAACTTCACATCTAAATAAATGGCTTGTGCAAGATCAGCATTATCCAGTTACTTAACAAGGCAATGGACATTATCATATGGATAAATGATTTTCAATGGTGTTGATGTTGAATCTTCACAAAAGTCAACTGTTGATTTCATGCAACCTAATGTCATATTCATGCAACCATATAGGATAGGAGATGACCTGATAAAACATATGACAAAATTCAACCCAGAACAGTGATTGTAGTGCCTATTGTCCAGCGTTTTGTCAGTATGGACTGGACAGGACTGGAATGGAATGGAAATTTTGACAAATCCTGTCCAGCGTCATTAAAATAGTAGCCAAACCTGGATTGGATCAAGTTTTTCCAGTGTTAAGTGCTGCTCTATCTATGAAAAAATATGCACATCACAGCACAGCAAAGGCATTCTCTGTATCACATGTATGACATTCTCTGTATCACATGTCAAACATTATACTACTAGGTAGTAGTTCTAATATTCTCCAAGTCTACAGAGAGAACAACTACCTTGTCTGCCAAAAAATTTGGCATTACAGAACTTTCCACAGTAAGCTGTGAGTTCACTGCAGGATTTCTTCCTTGTCCTTTCAAATCTGTCTGAAAGGCATAGAAAAGAACAAATTTTGAGATTCCATAATACAAAGCAAAAAGCAGAGATCCATGTTTCATAATTTACTTTAATACCTGCTCATTAACAGTGACATTATTGTCAGCTCCACCATATTCTGCAGACTTTCCAGCTGCATGTTCACTCTGTGCAGCAGAACATGTCTGATCACTCGCTCTTGCATAACCAAGAGCAACCTGCTGCTCCTCCTGTTGTGCATATCCTGTTCTGGCACCATAGTGCTCGGATGTACCCCCTGGAACCACTACTTTAAAACTGGGAGACTCTGTGGATAAGGGAAAGGACTTCTCCGGGCTACTCGACACTTCTTTCGACGAAGACCACATCTCATCAGAATTACCAAGATGTACATTACCAAAAATGGAATCATCATTGCTGCAAAACCAACACTTGTGAGGATGGTACGCCAGATGGGTAATACTACTCAAATCTTGAGAATTATAAATGAAGTAAGGTACAAAATCCAGCAACAAATTTAAAGCATTGAGAAATTCTGTCTGCTAAGCATATGCAGATATGTACCTTTTCATCAAATTATCGAATATGAATATAGATGCCTCAACTAAACAACTACTGAAACAAAATGATAAATGTGTGAAACCAAAATAGCCCCATATTTGTAGAGTAGCCTCGGAAGAAGTGGTTGGGTACCAGGATTGTAAGGTATTCAGGTGCGACAATCATGGAACAAACACTATGTAAAGGATGTATTGTAGCTTTTATATATTAATCAAGCTTCTCAAAGCAACAAACAGAGACAAATTGGACAGCTATTATATGAGCTGGGATTCCAATTTGAGAAATATGGATTACCTGAAAATTCGATCAAGGTCATCAAAGCTTCCGATATCAGCCCAACTGTAGTCAACAAAGCCAGCTTGTCCTTCACTCTCATCGGGATTGCGGTAAATTTCAGGGTCCTTATCGGGATCAGCCGCCTCTACTGCCACAAAACCTCACATTAGATTGCCAACATCAAATAGGCAAAAACATCTTTGTTTGCTTTATATTCTTTTATACTTTATATATGATATATCACCACCTCCAGAAGAGTCAAATTTGGTAATCTCACTTAAACTAGACCCGGAAGTTTCCAAGGAACCCTGATTCGTTTCGGAAGCTCTAGCTAAAGATATGCCAGGCCAAGGGTCCATGTGATATCCTGAGGCAGAAGTTCCTTCACCATTGTTGATGTTTGAAGTGCTCTCTAGCTTTCGGCCATGGATAGCAACTTCAGTTGCAGGAGCCTTCTGCTCCTCTAGCTTACTGTTACTAGCTTCATGAGTCCATTCCATCTTCCTGCTATAAGCTTCACTTGTCTCTGGATTAGGTACAATATGGTTGTCTCTGTCATCCTCATCCCATATTATGTTAGTTAACTGCAAATTGAGTGGCATGTGTTATCTACTCACAACAAACAATATAGATTATTCTTAAGGTTCTCCAAACAGATTGGAACTCTTGTAACTTTTCTGTGAAGAATACAACGCAGCCTGTCAATTGCGCAAGTCAACAGTGAGTAAAAACTAGCATATAAGTATGTGTGTTTCATTTGTTAGTACCTAGAACTTAAGTAGGAAGCGTAAATCCCACACATCATGGATTTGAACAACTGCATTTATTGTTTGGGTGGAAATTTTGGAAATTTTATTAGATAAAAATTTGTGGACTCGAGGATTTGCAAATCTCACATTTCATTTTGACTTGGTTGATGTAAGGCAACTTTGTGGGACCCATGGTGCAAAAATCTATAAATCCATGATAAAAAATAAACTAACAAACAATGATTCTTCAAACGCATCATAAATACAAAGATTTTTAAAACTAACCCTCATTTTCAAATCCAACAAGCGGACGACCCCATAGCTCAAAGAAAGACAATATTTGAATCTAAATTTTACCAACAATTATTCAGGGAAAGAGTTATGTCAACAAAAGAAAACACAAAAAATAAACATGTTGGCCCTTGAAATATTAAGGATTGTTTCTCAATACTCTAAACTAACATTTTGTAAATCTCATTCATTTTTTTATTACTGAACAAACCAAGTTCCATCACATCAACTATGTTTTTATTACCAAACACTATTTCATATCAAATCAACAATACTTCTTATGAAATGATAACGAACATCATTATCCATTCTAATATAGCTGAAGTTAAAGTTCCTAGAGTTTGAGAAAAATACCTAACAACCTTAATCATTTCTTTGTCCTAGTTCAAGTGTGAGTTGGCAGTCAAAAATTCATATGCGGTATTCGATGAAATAAAATCACACCATTTTTGTTTTTCAGACAACTAATGAATATCACCTTTCTCTCCTAGATTCACCCATAAACCCACCTCCAATCCTCAACTAAGGAAGTAATGCCAGTTAAATGTTGGGACACAAAATTTCAGCGAATTCTATTCACTTCCACATCTTTCTCATTTCACCCAGATAAATCCAGTAGTGAAAATAGCTTTACAGCAGAAATCCTACAGCTACTTAATTCTAAACCACCGAGAGCTCAAAGGAACCATCCCATAACACGAAATGGGAGATTGCTAACAATTTGCCAAAAAACAACCGCAATCTCCCCACCCTAGTTTACCCCAAAGCCAAAAATGAGTTCAGGGGAAGTCACTAATTTAATCGCAGAGATCCACGTTGACCATCCGTCTACAAGAAGACAGCAATCTGAGCTGCAAACCGTTCAGAAAATTCCATCGCCATGCCAAGATCTAGGTTTTTGTTGCCTTTAGAAATCAGAAAAGCACGCGACGACCGACAAAAACAAAAGGATCCAAAATTCAGAATCGGAAAGGCACGGCTGAGCTATCCACAAGAACGAAGAACACCCACAGAAGTAGAGAGAACACGGTAAATGAATCTGAGAAGAGAAGAGAAGACAATCAGGTCTAAGAAAGGGTTACCTCTTCGTCGTTCCAATCAAACATAGCTGTACAAAAGGACCACAAAGTCGCAACCCGATTCAAAGAAACGTTCTGGGCTTATCGCACGCATCGCCAATCACTCGATAACCTGAAAAAAGAAGCGAAAACAGAACAAAGGACAAACAACGTCAAGTAGCCATAACATCAACCAACTAAAAGCGTCAATCTTGAAACAAAGAAAAATCTCAAGAAAACAAATGAAAAAATTGGAGAACCCAAGCTTCGCGAGCTCAGAATTAATCGAACCCACAAGCAAAATCAACAGATTTGCAAGCTTTTCCACTCACTGAGCGTAAGAGGAAAGGAGGTAAGGCAAAGGCATGCCAATCAAAGAGCCTAGAACAGTAAAACCTTTGGGTTCTACAGAGGGAAGGGAAGCAGAGAAGGGGAGAGACTAGAGAGAGGCTGGTCACGTGAGGGTCACGTGGAAGTTGTGGCCTGACTGGGTGACACGTGGTTCGGAGTGCAGGGCAGTATCTAAAGGAGTGGCCAGGAGGAGGCAGCAGATCAAATGCTGTAAGGTTATTGGTACTCGTATTTTGTGCGGTTTTTGTTCTCATTTTGCCTTTTCTTCTTCTGTAATCTTAATTGTGGTGGAGATTCATCGTGGAGTCCTTGTCCGATTTTCTTCCGTGGGTAGGCTGCTAATGGGTCTTATTTAATCAAGTGGCCTTGTGTTTATATAATCCACACGTTTGGTGGACTTTTAATCAGCGGCAACAAGTAGATTAAATTATTATAAATATAGGTAGGTAATTGGGTATAATTCCAAGTAAAATATACTAAAAATAATTTAAATTATTGAATACAAAATTGTAATAACACTCGCAACTATCACTAAAAGTACACATTCATTACGTAAAAGTTACGAAACGAAAGTTATTTTTTACACAATAGTTAAATCAGAAGAGTTACGTAAGGCTTCCGTAATAACTTAGCACTTTACATAACTCGAGATTAATATCATGAGGAAAAAGGACCTTCCATTACGTAAGAATTTCATAATGACACTTTACGGTTGTTACGTAAAATTAATACACATCCATTACATAAAAGTTACGGAACGATAGTTATTTCTTACGTCATAGTTAAATCAAAAGCGTTACGTAAGGATTTCATAATTACTTATCACTTTACATAATGTGATGTTAACATTCATTATGGGAATGATTGTCTGTTACGTAAGGCTTTCGTAATGAATTTTTACAACTGGTACGTAAGATATGCACATGATACATAACTATTATGTAATGACTATTGTATTTTACGTAATATGACTTGTGAAACCTGCTATAGCGGATGCAAAATAATTCAAGCTACCTTACTATTGTACCTTGAGTAAAATCAAAGGTACGACATACCTTGAGTAAGAAAATGGTATCTAAATCTTGATTTGACCAGAGTTTGACATCTGGTACAATTCTCAAACCCTTAAAGATTAAAATCTAGGTCTTAATTCCATAAATCTCATACACTAAGATCTATTCAATTAGAAACAAAAATCGACGGTTACGATTCATCGAAATATATGCAACAAATTACATGCATAATCTTAGGCGTTAGGCTCTATGATTTAAATAAGTAAGACCTAGGGTTCACTCATCAAGGATTAGGGAATAGTATCATGCCAAAATTATTACTCAGGGTATGTCGTACCCAAGGTAAGATAGAGGCCACCATATATAGATGTGTGTGTGTTCAGAACAGTAGCTTTCTCTTGCATAATCTAAGGGTGTATAACCAAGCATAATCATATACTTACTATTTGTAGAAGGGTACTAACTTTCTACTAATAAAATTAACGAACTATATATTTTTTCGTTTATATCGAAATTAAGGGGTCGTTTGGAATAGTGATTTGCATGAGTTATTCTGGCTCAAATAACTCAATTTGAGTTATTTGGACCAGAATAACTCGTTTGGGTATACAAAAGTGTGATGAGTTATTCTTGCACAAGTTATTTACAAATAACTCAAAAATGAGTTATTTGAAGTACCAACCCCACCCTCAATTATTTGAGAATAACGCATTATGCGTTATTTCCCTTCCAACTATGCCCCTTTCTCATTCTTCCTTTTCTCTTCTTCTCCCCCCACTCTCGAACGACTCTCAGCTTCTCTCTTCTTCTCCTCCCTTGCTGTCGATTAACCATCCTTTCTTCAATGAATCTCTAACCTATCTTCTCCTCTTTTTGTCGATTCAACAAAACCCATAACCCCCTTGAGTCACTCGAAACTACGCCGTGAATTAATCCCGACTAGAGCCCAAGTTTTTAAACTCTATCTGGGTGCAGCATAGGGCAAGTTTTAATTATCAACCCGGGCCGATCCATGTACCCCTACTTCAATCTCTTAGGTTGTTATCTAGCAATCAACTTTTGGGTTTAGAACTAATGGAACTACAAACTAAACAAGTAAAGAAAAGTAAATAAAGGAAAATTCTAACTAAGCGAGCTTCACCCAGGAGTTGCTTCCCCCTAACTAGCTACCAGGACTCGTTGGATTGAATGAAGTCGTGCGTCTATGTGGTTGTGAACCGCGAGGGTGAGCAACTAGTGATCGATTTGTCACGGAATCAATTCACTAGCTACCGATTTGTCACGGGATCGATCCACTCACGACGTCTAGGGGAACCGCTAAGAGGGGCAACTATGATCCATTTGTCACGGGTTCACTAGAGATCAATTTGTTAGGGAATCGATCCTCTTACTCAGTCTCTAAGGGTTGCCTGGGTCTCTCCCTCAAACATGAGTTTGAGCGGTTTAATCACGACCAACCTAGATGTAACACCCCGAATTTGGGTTAGGTTCGACCATCGGTAAGTAAATGGCTCGATTTGGGAATTGAATAATTTTAATTAATTAATTATTAGTTAATTCTAAATATGGGTTAATTGATTTTGATTAATTAAAGTTGAAGAAAAAGAAAGGGAATTAAATTCCCACCCTATACTCACTCCCCATCTACGCAGCCAAAAGAAGTTGCTAGCTCTTCCCTCTTCTCACCTACACTTACACAAGAGCCACCGCATCAACGCAAACCCACATGTCGTCATTGTCCTCAGCATGTGTAGATGGAGCCCTTTAATTCCCTTTGTTACGGGCGATGAAGAGGAACAAGCTCCTCAATTCCCTCAGCATCACCGCCCAGCAAATTGGTCCACCATTCCTTTTTCTTTTCCTTTGCATCGTAACCGCCCAGCAGTAGAGACAAAACGACCATGGGATTGAGGTAAGAGCTCGGCAATGAAAATATGACAATGATGATGGTTGTTTCGTCAAATTACGAGGTTAAAGGGAATTGAAATTTGGGTCCATAGAATTGAGCGGTTGCTAGGCTAGTACAAAGAACTAAAGGTAATTGTTAACATATGGTGCATGGATGGCTACACAATGGAGATGGGGACGAGAATTGGAGGAGGAGTAAAAGCTTCAAGCCTTTGACAACCAGTAGTCAAAGCACGTCAACTGCATTTAAGAGGTGAGTGTAAATAGGGTAAAATCTCTGTCGAGGTCTTTAGTTTATGCTTTTATTTTAGTTATGCTGGTTAATTTATGAGGTTGCGCGATATGTGTGTGAGGCATCCCACCGTCTATAAGGGTGGAGGCACGCGTTGTGCTATGTATAAATGTATGGATTTGAGATTGTAATAGCTGATTAATGGTAAGATGAACCCCCGGGCGGTTGCGCCACTACTGGATGCGGTAGATGGTCGGATTACTGCTGGACGGCGAGACGTAACGCAGCAGTTGATCGAGTATGTTGGGGTCACTACTGGACGGCGAGACGTAATGCAGTAGTTGACCGGGCATGGACTGGACGACGAGACGTAACGCAGTGCCATTGCTGAGTTTGAGTATGAAACCGGACGGCGAGACCTTACGCGGTTGGCATACTAGGGTAGGGACACCGGACATCGAGACGTAACGCGGTGGTCCCTGGTATTTAGAGGTGGCAATTCTCAATCCAATCCACCAATCCAATTCATCAATCCATTAAAAATATCTACCTAATCCAATCTATTTAAATCCAATCCATTTGATCCAAATCCAATTGGATTGGTGGATTCGTAGATTGATCCATGGATCCAAATGGCAAATTACGATTTGGTACCTATGATTTTTATGTTTTACAATTTGGTACCCAAAATTTAATTTTTTATACGAAAAATATCATTGAAAAATTACGTTTTGGTACCTAAAATTTTTCATTATGGCATTCTAGTACCTAAACTTTTCACATTTTACATATTGGTCCTTGGTTGAGGATGTCATTTGGATTCATGGATAATCCACCAATCCAGTTGATCCAATCCATGAATCCACCAATCCATTGGATCCAATCCATTTGATTCATGAATCCACCAATCTAATCAATCTATCCATGGATCCAATCCATTTGCCACCTCTATTGGTATTGATGTCTATGAGTTAAGGATAGAAGTAGAGAACTTCTATGATTTAAGGATAAAGATGAGAACTTCTATGAGTTAACGTTGGAATAAAGTAATAAGGATGAAAGTGAGAACGACTTTCATCTAAGGAAAGGAAGTAATTTCAAATAATGTGTTTAGTAAGGGTTTTCTTAGGAAAATACCTTAGGAAGTAACGACGAGACTGGCCCCTTCTCACTCACCAGGTTGAGAAAGGGTTATCATAGGTGGATTTCGAGAAGAGGCAAGGCGATGCGAGAAGTTGCACAACAGTGGACGAGATCGAGGGGAGCTCAACAAGGAGCTGGAGTTAGATATAGTTAGTTATTTTATGATTCATGATTATGAGTATATACAAGAGGTTCAAAGTTCATAATTTAGATGGTTTTATTGACTATGGATTGAGGTTGCCCAAATGTTTAGGGCATTTCTTTTGAAAAGTATTCAGTTGTATTTGTTTTAATGAAATTTTGAGGTTGTTTTAAGTCGGCTCCGGAGCCACGTGTTTTTCGGTTTGTTTAAAAGGGACGGGTCATTTCATTTTGGTATCAGAGCCGGTACTCCTCTGTTCCTTGGTCTCCAAGGAATACTGGAGTGACGGTCTGGGTGTTTTTCAAGGTTACGACCCAAGAAGTAGGGGAGGTTAGACTTTAAGCAACACTAGGGGCATTTAAGCAAAGCAAACGAGGAATTAAGGAGGTCATAGGGATCCTGAAAGGATTTCTAAGAACCAATGTGTCTAGACTAGCAGGAGGAACGTGCGTGTGCATTTAAAAAAATAATAGATAAAAATAAGGAATCCCCTATGGAGGAACGCGTTAGGGTGGTTACCAGTTTTTTAGTAACCATGGTGGCAACATACATCTAAACCCTTCATTGACTCTATTTTTCTCTTTTTTAAAATAACGGTCAAGATTAGATTAAGGGTAGTTTGGACTTTAAAATATTATCACACCAGATTATAACCTATATTTAAAACTTACCTCTCCCATCCTACCTCCACTTTCTCTATCCTCCCACCAGCTGTCTGCCCTCCCCTCCCCTCCCCGCCGGCCGTCACTC